ATTCATTATTAAAATTTTATCGTTGATAAGCTGGTAAGTGGTTGATTTATTTCTGCAAAAAGAGCATAAATTATATTTTAAACATACTTATACATCTGTTCTTGATATCCACATTTTCTATATACATTATAATAACAAAATGAATTAAAGCATTTCTCATTTTCTCAATTAAACCCGTCAGTAATTCAAAATGATTAAGTATGGGAATATTTCTTACTTTTAAAACAATTTACACAACAAGTACAAGTCTAATATTATTGTATACACCTAGTCCTTGACCTTCAAAATATGCTTATATTTATGTTACTCATAGATTGTAAACCGATATTTTGTTCAGAATACAAACAATGATAATGTTTATTATAAATTCTATTTTTTATTTGTTTGAAAAGCACTTAGCCACTTACAAAGCATTTTGATCATGTAAACTTGTTAATTCTGAGTATCTGATAAAAACATGTGCTATTTATTTCTTTTCAGTGCCTTGTTTATTTATCAAGAAGAATATGCAAGAGTAGCCAGTTTCAGTTGGCAGAACTTAGGTAGCACTCCACACTAAATTTCAAGTTTCTGCCGTCAATGTCCTACAAGCAATATGTCTAATAAATCTGATCCCAAACTACACAACCTGGAAAAAGAAAACACATTTTGTTAAGAACATATATGTCATAACATTGAAAATCTGTAATGAAATCATCCCATGTGAAACAGTCAGGCAGTTATTTAAAAAAAAATCCAATTCATTCCGTAAAAGCCAAAAATCTATAGAGGTCCGAGACCCAAAACAACATTTTTCGTCCCTCCGGCAAAAAAACCCTGCAAATATACGGACTACAGAAACTCTGTCACTGCTTTAGCAACTCCATATGCATGCAAACTATCACAAAGAAATAGGTGCTTTGCCTTGTAGATTTTTTGCTATTGCTGAAAGTTTGTACCCCCCTGTAAAATTACTTGTTTTCACCGAGCATGCTGTTTAAAAGCAATGTTTACAAACAATGGCGGCCTTGACATCTATAATAAACAGCATGTTATTTCTAACCATGTTTTCGAATTTGCCAATGATCATATTACATGTTACAAAAACAAATTTCATGCTGAAAATGCATTTTAAAGACAACCAGTCATTTAAATCCACAATAGTCACTATATCCATGAAATCCTCCCTGGCCATTCGAAGCTGTGGCTTCATTTAGTGTGGTGTGCTGCCTTAGTATCGAATGTATTAATAACATACACTTCTTACAAAAAATACAACGTAATTACTTAGGAGAAACAATAATTGGCATATGAATGCAATATCTGTTCAAAAAAAATACAAAGAAACACACACCCGGATTTTGATATCTGGATTAAATAATCAACTCAATTAATTATTGTCTTCGTCAACCAACTTCCATCCTCTAATAATGCTCTAGCATTCCATTTTCTTGCGGTTTCTCTCTTAATCTTACAATGTAATCAGGAAAAAACTCTCAATGATATCATATTCAAATGATTTTGTCTACACAATAAATTTCCTTCCATATCTATTCTTAAGTGCAATTACATCAGCTTTATTCCGGCACGGTGATATAGGTTAATATGTTGGCCTAGAACACTTTTAATAAAAAACGGGATAGAAACTGGCATAAATAAAAGAAAACAGAAGAAAGAACAATCACAGCACTATCAATCTTTATTATTTTCTGTAATACAAGATTTTATTATCACCAGATACTTGCAATTTCATGAAAAACAGAATCTGTAAAGAACGCCCAAAACGGCAAAATTAAAAATGCTCGGTTTGATTGAGCCTGCTTGTGGATAATACTTGAAAGTGCAAGTAACAGTCCACACCCCCTAGCACCGCCTTGAGCATTAATTAACAGTATTGCATAAAAATTCTGACGTTTTGAATTTAGATATATGACAAATATGACAAATGATAGATACAAAGTTCGTTTCAAAATATTTAACTTTTTTTAATACAATCTCAATAAAATTTCAATAGCAATAAGGCTTTCAATAATAGGCAAAGGGAGATGAGCAAATCTGTTCCTGTTATTTGTTAAACAATAAAGACATTATGCGTTAAGGAAACGAATATATTTGAAGAACTTGAGAAAGGAAATTCAATTTGAAAAAAATCAAAACTGAATTCATTGTTACCAGTGCACCTTATTGTATAATGGTACTCACTTATTCAACTTTCTAAAAGTGTTCTCTATTTATGATAACGTTTTCATAACTCTGTGACATACAACTCAACAAAGTCCAGTTATAGTAAAATAAATCTCTGTTGTGTAGAATAAGAAGTTTCGATGTATTTTTTGTAATGAATTGTATCATTTTCTTAATATATTTTCACCTCTTAGAAATGAGCAATTATTAATTTGAAATTAAATATCAAAATCAATAAAAACAATCAAGAGCAGAATTTTGAGATTTAATGTTCTTCTTTTTTGTTGCGGCATATCGTTCATCAGAATTGTGTTCTTGGTAGTAGGTAACTAAGCTAATGCATTAAATTCACGAAATAATGTAGTAATTTACTAAACACACATGTACATGTATTTATATTTTTAGTTCAAGTTTTTTTTTAACAAAGAAAGGTTATAATGTTGTAAGGAATACGTTTGTAAATTTAACAGTTGTCTCTCTTTGAATCCTTGTTTGTATAAGCAAACATAAACTATCTTTACTTAACGTCCATTCGCCATCCGGTCTGCATCGATCGATAAACATTGGGACAACTCTTTATTGTTTGAGCTTGTCTTATGAATGTTTCGCCCCTGACAACCTAATTTGGGTTTTGTTTTTTGTTTTGTTTTGTTGTTGTTGTGTTTTTAGCTGTTGTTTTTTTTTTTTTTTTTTTTTTGTTTTTTTTCAAAAGAAAAGAGCAGACTATAGTTTTTTGACATGTTCATTTTATAAAGTCATACACAATATTATAGTGGTTTAATCTTAGTTACTTTATGGTTTTATATAAAAAATATGGTACTCAAATTAAGATTTATCAATTTTGTAGGTTCCAAAAAGCATTACTTATAAAGATATTACCGAATTTAACATTTCATGTAAATAGAGGTAGATGATTGGAAAATTTATTTTCTATAATGTCCAAGTCTATTTTTTTGCAATAAGAAATGAATGCATATATTTTAATGATTACATATAATATGTACAAATATCTGCAGTACATATTTTACATATTCTTCGATGTTTAAAAAAATTTTATAGGGATAATTATACACATATACATGTATATAATTTTATTTAAGTGTGGTATACAACCTCAACTACAACATACAGGATCTTTAAAAACACTTGTATATAACTGAAGTTAAGCGGATTTCTTACATGGTAAGTATATGACAACATCAATAATTGTTCACAATACTTTGAATCCATACAAATACTTGTTTACTAAAATACTTTCCATGTTTAAAAAAGATTAAAGTTCATTTACAATAACATTTTGTTACTTTTCACTTTCACGTTCACTTACTCACTAAAATACTTACTATAGAATAGTAAATATTGTTCATTTATCATTCACTTATCCGTTCATGAAACTATTTACAATGAAATAGGAAAGAGAATGAATATTATTCATTAACTATATAACATTTTGTTACCATACTCTTACTTATTCACTTAAAGACTTCCCATGATTACATTGAATATATTTCATTTATTATAACACTGTAACCGTTCACCTACTCACTTACATTTAATACTTATAATGATTACATAAAATCTTTTTCATTATTGTAACACATCCCAAACAAGTCCTCGTTCACTTAAATTCTTACCATGATAACATTGACTATTTTTCAATAATTATAACACTGTAACTGTACACGTACTTGTTACATTAGTACGTACTATGATAACTCAGAACATTATTCATTATTGTAACACTTACCAAACAAGTTCTCGTTCACTTAAATACTTACTATGATAACATACAAAATTAGTTTTTTTACTTATCATACTTTTATGCTGTCACTGAAAAACTGACTCTGATAAAAGAGATATACGCGCTCACTGACACACGCTGATTTCATATACCGGGTATAATGATGCGTTTCATGAAACACTTACTAAAACAAAAACAATTACACGTCTCCTAAAACACTTGCTGCCAACATACACAATAACGCGTTCACTAGTACCCTTACTGGGAACATGGTGACGCGTTTCCAGACACAATTGCTGCAAACATATACTGTAACTAGTTCCATGAAACGCTTACTGTCAACATTATGGCGTTTCCTGAAATATTGCTACCTGTGTCCTGAAAAAGCTTACTGCGACAATTTATTCCAATGTTCAAGCCTTACACGTCGGATACCAAAAACTGTTTAATGAAGCATATGAGAAAATAGTTTAAAAAGTTTTCATCGTAAAATAAATGAAAGATTATCAGATGAAAATATGAAAAGAAAGACTAAGTGGCTGTGAAACTATGTGTCAACAACTTCACATTCTACGAGTGTGAAACATTTATCCAGATTATTATTAAAATTACTATTTCTTAGTGTTGTTTTGTTTTTAAATGTATCACTAAAATTTTATGTGTCTAATTTCCTGTTCTGTAACCGAAAACGATTTATTAACTTAAATTCTAAATGTATCAAAAGGTACATAACGTCAAAGAAGTCAGTGAAATGTTTAACCAAATTCAAATAAAGAAACGTGTATAAAGCTTAATTTCTTACCGTGGATAAACAAATAAATTAAAATAAATCATTCCCATTTTAAGCAATATTCAAACGTTCAGAGACGTTTCTGTTAGCATTGGAAGTTGTGAAAAAGAGTGAAGTGATTCCTGTTATTCCGCAAAAGAAATAAAAGTCCTTTAAAAGTTCAAGTCGTAAACTGTGATTAATGTAATTTTAATGTTACCACAAATCTTCGTTTCATCTATGTTTTTCTCGGGAAACGGTAAGTCTAGATTCAGACTGACGTTATTGATTCTATCAAAACAAAACTTATGCCTAATACAGCTTTTTTCATGATTCGTAAGTATCTTTAACTCTGCTAGTTGAAGCATGGATTTCGCTATTTTCAATGTTTTCATTTATTTGAATGATGTTTATTATCCTTGGTAGAACGACATCACCATTCTTGTTGTCAGCACTTTCATATTCATTATCTATTTTATCATGGTCATTGTCCACACATTTGTCTGCATTTTTCTCAAATGTCTCCATTTCCATTCCTTCTGAATTTTTACGAATTTCATTTTTATGATCATTGTCATTTGTTTGATTCCTTGCTCTTTCAAAAACTGTTACTGTAATATCTCTGAAAAATACCAATAAATTTTAAGAATCAAAACATGCATAAAAAATTGTAAACAAGACCAACAAGGAAAGGCGGCGCTAAACGAACGCAACCCCATCACGACCCCGCAACAAGGACCAGGGGCCCAAGAGGATAAAAAGATGACAGGTAACAAGGCAGAGCACGGACATGACAATCACTAAATAATACATGAAAGGAAACAATAGTTACCGATAAGGAAATCAAATGCAATTGATTCATTAATAGGCCCACAAAGTAAAAGGGCACAGGAATGGGATTCGAAGCACGAGGAACAGGAGGGGCAAAATTAAAAATAAAAATAAAAATAGGGGCAAAGGGGAAGATACTGGCCGTAGACGAGAAAACAACAAGGGACACAAACAAAAGTGTCACCAAAACAGTATGAAACAACAAAGACATACATCTGAGGAACACAAAGGGTCACCGCCTTGGAACGGTCAGCAGCATAAGCACTGCTGGGGAGTTTAAACCGGTTAATGGTGCACCAAATCTAACTCTTAGCCCCCATCATGTTTCTTTCAACGAGACAGTGTAAATAAAATAAATTCCCGCAAAGGGAAATTCTAGCAGTTTAGATATCGTAATATTTTTAAGTTTTAAAATAGATGACTACAGTTCAGTATCAATGAAACATCCCTAGTACCAGCAACCGTTTGATTAATAATACAATTGCAAGCAAACATTTATTTACTTATCCTTAGCTTATTTGTATATCAATTACATACATACAATTACACAACACTTCTTTAATTTATACTTTTATCGGCGGGGCATGTATGATTTAAATGAATTAATTACAGAGGAAATTTAGGTTGAAATGTGTAAACTTAAAATAAAAATCAACCAACTTTGAGGCATATGCATATGTATATAGAATTGCCTCTTTGACATTTTTCTACAATAATACCACTTTCTTAACACTGCTAAAATGGGGTCGTATATACTTGTAACATTTAGGGTATATTTTGGTTGTTATAGCCTGTAAGCAGTAGCAAATACGTGAAATTTACAGCTAATATATTCTTTTAAAGTTGGATACAAGTTTAAACATACATAAGTTTTGATCATACATTAGAAAGAGACCATTATATTCCTGTAGCAGACGAAAAAAAGCAATAACAGTAGTAATTGTGGTGTTGAAGATAATGTTAGTGCTAGTTGTAGCTGTTGTAGTAACAATAGCAGTATTAAATCTTTATCATATGAAGGAATATATATGGTACATAGCGCTTTAAATATATCTTAAATAATGAGCCTTATATTGACATGAATGGCAAATCTATTTATTATAAAATAGCCGAAATAGCAACGGCAATTGTGCGCTCCTTATCAAAATCACAAAAATGAATGTTTTCTTCAGCAACAGCCGCATTCTCAAAATGTATGGTCAATTAGTATTCCACGGTACCACAATAGTTCATAATTATCTGCTTAATCAAAAGTGCGATGAAGATCTTCCGCACAGACGCACAACCGGGCAGATGTTTATACAATCACGTTTGTGCAACACCTAAAACTGGTTATTTTTCTCATCATTGCCATCATCAGTGGCAGCAATAATTCAATCATAAACATAAGCAATAATAATGGTCATACCAACTGCAACATGAATTAGCAATATAGTGTGATGAAGATGATGATGTTGCTGGTGCTTAAGACAAAGAAGATGAAGATTAGTGTCATCGTCAATCGGAATATCTTACACACACACCGATGTGCAGCAACTTGAAGTATCCGTAAATCGTTAATTCCTATGCTTTATCAAAAGTACAAATAAGTTTCACTAATAGTGTTTACAAACTTACGATTGTCCAATACCTCCTGCTCTAGGCTGTGCCGGAAATACCTTTTGCTTAAACGGCCAGATACGATGCATCGCATCTCGGAATCGGTCACAGAATGCGCTATATAAAATCGGGTTCATGACGCAGTTTAATTTAGCAAACATCGTTGGCAGGACCTGGACATTTGACGGAACTGGTTTGGCAACAAGGTTCCAAAGTGTAACAATCGTGTACGGTGTCCAGATTATCAAAAATGAAACAACCATTGCTAAGCATATCTGAAAGGAAGGTAGAACGATGCAGCTTCAAGTAATGCAGCTATGATTTGTAGATTTGAGAAAATGATGTTTTAAAAACTTGTGACAAATTCGGAACGGTTAACATTAACATATTAAACTGTACAAGGATGTATTACTTTTGTTAGTATTGCATTTGAAACTAAAAAAAATTTTTACAACCATGGAACATGATTAAAACATAAAGTTCCGTTGATAATTTGAAAGCCCATAAGTAATTGATTATCAAATATCCTTCTTTAGTGGAGACTATTTGATTAAAACAATTTATACATTACCCATGTCATGTGTCGTGATGCCCTTAGTTTTGAGTTCCTTGACATTTCCTCAATAATTTTGTCAATATTTGGTCTTTCCAAACGCCATTGTACTGGTCTTGTCCTATGATATCAAACAAAATTACTGAAAATCACTTTTAGAAAGATTAACAAGGCAAGAGAAGTTCACATAAAGCAACTCCCGACTCACCCAGCCACAACAGCAGGGCACACAGAAGGTTCCTTTAAATCCTTTAGCTAAGCATCCCTCACCACATCTAAGCATAATAAATAATGTACCATCATTTTGACCAGTTGGGTCTCCTTTTTCTTCTAAAACACATTACAAACAGATAGAATGATCTGTTTATGGATCTTTTCGAACAATTCCAAGACAATTTGAAATGAAATATCTTCACTTATAGATTAACTTCTTATGAGAAATATTCACTTTTAAATTACCTTCTTATTTTTAAAGCTCATATAACACATTTTTATGGTTTTATATCGTAAATATAATCCTCAAATGAAGATTTATCAATATTATTAGTCCCAAAAAGCATTATTTTCATGTAAATAAAGGTAGAAAATCAGAAATTTATTTTTATAAAGTCTAAGTCAAATTATTCAATAAGAAATGAATGCATATATTTTAACGATTACATATAATGTGGACAAATATGTTCAGAACATATTTTACATATTCTTCGAGGTTTGTAATTGTTTTAGAAGCATAATTATATAAATATATAAAATTTTATTTATGTGCGAAAACAACCTAAATAAAAACATTAAGGATTTTTTACTAACAACGGTTTAGATGAACAAAGAAAAACAAGATATGGTGTAGAGGAAATATCTCAAAATAGTGACATTAGGCAGGCAATTCGTCTCGAGTGATGACAAGACATTAGACTATGGCAATATTATTATTTTTTTATAAATTTTAGAATTGGTGACGTATTATATTTATGTCCTTAATAAATATACTTTCTTTATCTCTAATATCATTTGCAGATTGTGAAAATAAGGGTTAAAAGAATCTTGGGATCAATAACTTGTTTCTTAACAGGGCTATATGTATTTATTTGAATTTCATTTCTATATTATGTAAGAGAAAAACAGTTATTAGTCAGAAACGTAATTAATTTGAAATCAGGATTGATATTCACTGTTAAGAGTTAATCATTTCTAATCGATGTACCATATTGATTTGAACCTAACACTTAACGGACTTGCAATCACTGATGTCATCTTTTTGTTCTCTGTTTCTAATAAGATAAAACAGGATAAGCTGTTCTGACATGCTAGTACTTAATTTCATTCCGCTTTAATATAATGATAGAAATCTTTTGTCTGATGTAATAGTTAAACATACTAACCTAAGATACGTGCAAGTGAACTTAAATAACGAAAAAAGTTAATACATCTTACAAGAGATAGTCTAAAAATATACTTTAATTTGTTGGTGAAATGAAAGGATTTTAGTGACGTGATTATAAATAGTGAAATCTGAATAAATTGAGAAAAGAGAATTAAATGTTACATAAAAGATACATATAAGTTTACACGACCCTATGTACGTGTGACCTATAATACATGCCTATTATTGTTCATTGCGATGTTATGCTTTATATTTTCTTTAAATAATCAATAAATGATATTTAAAAAAAATGAATTGATTGAATATTTGATTGACTAAGTGCAGTAAGCTTTTGTCAAATAAGAATTGAATTGACATTTATTCAATTCAGGAAGACCAGAACGTCTAAATCTCATATATATTACAATTTCATGTCATTCTATGAAGTCATCTTCAATAACACAAAGGGTATACATGTATATACAGTTACTATATATACACATGTACTGTATTACCTGAAAAGGCTCGTCCTTAAAACGTTGTAGTAACAGAATGCGAAAATAGCCACCGGTACACAATAACAGAAGACAATACACAGTGAGTTGTATGTGATGTCAGAAACTGTGGTCCCATACCAGTTGAGTGTACACGAGGTTTGGAAAGGTTCGTGCCCATAGCTACTCCATCCAACTAGCGGCGCACCTGTCCAAAACAGGGCATATACGAATATCCCGAATACCCACCACAATAAACGTTTCCCACGAATGTAATACTCTAAAAAAAATAGAATCTAAAGATATACAATATGCTAAAGTCATCCAAGTTTAATGCATGATGAGTATTGCTTTAATAAGATGCAATTTCAATATTGGCCGTTAGTTAATAGTTGCTTTAGTAAACGTTGAAATTTTGAAACCGCCTCTGATAAATTTTTGTTTCGATGTTAATGTTGATTGAAGGCACGATTGCTTTCGCCAACCATTATTAATTACTTGTTTGGAACAAATTATGCCACCTTTAGATCTTCAAGTGTGTTTTCTACTTAAAGCTTGAACAACAATTATATTTGTTTAAATTATCATGATTCCATTTGTTCAAAGGACATTTCTTTAGCTTTGAAATCAAGCCACTCTGTAAAATGTTCTTTATTATGTCTGGTCAATTAAAATAATGATTTCTTTTTTTGCAGGAAACTGATGAAAATGTTCCTAAGGGGCTGATAATATGTACCGGAAAGTTTGTAAAAATGGTAAAAGTAATTATGGTACGGTAATTGAAATGGGGAAAATCCCTGTACAATTAATTACGTATGGAATGACCCAAATACCCAAAAATACAGTTAGAAGTAATTTGCGTGTTATCAAATTGTAAACTTTTTTCACAACATTTTAAGGAATTCCGATGAGGAAAATAATCGAGATTTTTATTGAATATTTTAAGTTAGAAAATGTCTTGTCACTTTGTAATAATTACACGTTGGTTGTTTTAGTGATGATTATCACATTTTGGTAGCGTAAAGTGCAGAAGAGTATTGTTTAAGTTGAAGGAGCCAAAAAATAGATATATAGTGTTACAACATTGAAAAAGAGATTACAATTATAGATAACAACATTGAAACGCTTATTTCATCATGGAATTCCTTTTATATCTTTCTTAATTCAGATTAACACAATGGCTTCTTTTTCTTCTCACCAAATATGTAGACTTAAATTTTACCTATCCCAAAACTTCACTCACTAATATTTTCCCCGTGCTTAAAATGATTTTATAGATAACTGAATATCTAAAATAAATGGGAAAAAGAATTAAATATTGCTGATAACAATGTTAAAAGAGCAGACTACAGCGAGAGTGTGTAGATGAAAGAGTGTTTACAAGAATGTTCATAATATATGCTTCTTTTTTCCACCTTGAATACTTTTTATAGCTGTTATATAATTTTCAATTCATCACTGTATTTTACTTTATCTGTTCATAAGCATTTATATATACATACTGTACATGCATACATACTTGATAAATATATGAGCAAACCTGTAAAGGAACCTCAAAAAGTTTTTCTGTATTACATATATGTTGTTTTTTTGTTGGTTTTTTTTTTCGGAAATACAAATAAATTTTATATTGTTTCTATCTCATAATGAATAAAAAAAACAATGCCTTACGATCTTATAAAGCATCATTATGCTAAGATATTTATAGAAAATTACGTAAATGAAATCTCATTGCATCAAATTATCATTGATTATATTAATGAAGATATAAAACCCTTGATATAACATATAGGAGGAGACCATGGTAAAACCATAGTGACCATATATTATAACGCATTTATGTGGACTTTAAATAAAAGATAATGCACCTATGTCACAAGCCTTAACTAGAATAATTTTCTCTTTTGATTAAATAAAACAAGCCCTTTATCATTTATGTGGTGGTTTCAAATTTTCTTGTCCGCTTGTTTCCTAAGCGGATTAATCCGTTACTTAGTCAAGAAAACTGGAAAAGCGTTAAATTTTTGCCATTTGTTGGAGTTTTTCCATTTAATATTGCACCAATAAAGTAGAGTTCAAAATTATGGCGCTTTTTACGATTTAGTGGCGAAGGAAGTCCTCTATTTGAGCCGCGTCACGACAAACCCAACATAGTGCATTTGCGACCAGTCTAGATCAGCCTGCGCATCCGCGCAGTCTGATCAGGATCCATGCTGTTCGCTATCAGTTTCTCTACTTGTTATAAGATCTGTAAACGAACAGCATGGATCATGATCAGACTGCGCGGATGCACAGGCTGGTCTGGATCCATGCTGGTCGCAAACCCACTATGTTGGTTTTGTCATGACGCGGCTCATTTATCATTTCAGCGGGCGCCAGAGTAGAACAACCGACGTACCGTGAGCTACCTGGAAGCTTCTTAGCCGGATTCGATCCCATGACCTTAATTACTTGACCACTGATGGATACTACAGTCTGAATAAATAATGCAAGCAGACAGTAGCGAATACAAAAATACAGACTAACATCATCCAAAACAATATTCGTAATACGATTTTTAGGTGGGGAGTATATACTTCATACGATTTTGTGGGTGGGTTATATGCATGGCATTGATTTTGTCACTTACCGTACTCCGGCTTACAAACGATAATAAATCGTGTCACCGCAAGCGAACACAGGGAATTTATACTGCACATGGTAGCAAAGTACACCAGAAACCCCGTCACAACACAAGTGTCTTCATTAAAGTACCATCTGGAAAAAAAGAGCAAACCGAACAGAAATGTACAAATGTTCATAATATAACTGTACAATTATTGTCAAATTAAACTTTTTTAAATTGTGGTTTCTTTAAAGCGTTTTTTTTTTACTTAATATATTGAATCTTCTTTTAATTTTAATGAAACAATTTCAAACGGTAGTGAATATGAACCGCTCTTGCAAAAGTTATTTTAGGATATGCCAATTGCGTTCTTACATCGAGTTTTAACTTCTGACATTTTACGACCGTTTACATGTGTGAGATATTTTCGATATACCTTTTATAGTATCCGGATACAGCCGTCAGTGGATATGCTATACTAGCTACAACAAGATCGGAACAACTTATGATGTACATCAACACCAAGTGAATTTTGATGAACGCTGGTCTCCCAAATGATAAAACAAACAGTACGAAGCAGTTTCCACACACAGCAAAGAACCCTGCATGTATAAAATATGATAAATAAAATGTATAAACTCATATTTTAAAATAAACGTCACATTAAAGGGACTCCACTGAGGTTTTTTGACATGACAGGTTCTAGAATTATTATCACATTTGATATAGGATTGGACCAATAACCTGTGAGCACATTTTCAGATCATTTCCTCACCCAGGTGTTGTTGTTATTTTGTTGGGATTTTTTTCAGAATTGTCAGTTTAATTGTACAAAATGACCCAAAAATAAAAAGCGTTGCAATGCTGTTCACTCAAATCGTGCAAAGAATTGCACAAAAATCGATTTTCAATTTATTACCGAGTATGTTCCTATAGACCTTTTTACAATACGATTTTTCATATCAACGAATGTTCATATGTGGCGGCATGGCCGAGTGGTTAATGCGTCGGACTAGTAATCTCATGATCGCTAGCCGCATGGGTCCAAACCCCGTCAGGGGCAAGTCGTTGTTTCCTTGAGCAAGAAACTTTACACTCATTGCTCAGTACTGGTTGGTTCCAGGAACGGATTCGAAAGTGTGTCTATAAGCTTATAGCTTCCTACACAATCGAACTAAAATAAATTCTGTATAAACCAACGAATTTTGCATTTCGCGCATGCGCATTCTGCGTAGGACAGAAAGCAATAACAATGTCTACAGTTTATCATACTTAAGGCTTTAATAGATGCTGTTTCAATTTATGTCACCCAAAAAACATTAATTTTGGGATGACTTAAGGCGGTAAGTACAGAAAACGTGAATTCATTTTTTAAGAGATCTACGAAAATGTGCGGGAGTAATAATTCAATGGTCAAAACGGGCACACACATATCTTTGTTTAAGGTATCATTAGACGACTTTTCCATCAGTAATTTAAATTGAAACAGCAGGGTGTTAAAGATAAAATTTTATTACCCCTGTATTACATAATATTACACAATTTGTATTGTACACTTACTTTCAATAACTGTTTTGGTCAGGCGGCAAGTGTCAAACAGATTGGCACCCGAACGTTTGTTCATTGAACCGGGACGTTTGAATATCATGATATATTTAATCAGTTACGCTTTTTAAAATGGTGATTTACGTAACTTTTAAATAAACCGATCAATTTTTGTGGATTTTTAGAAGAGAAAAATTGTGTCACGTGCATAATTAAAAATAACATGTATTCCGAAGAAGCGGATAAAATGTGTGTGATATCTTTTCCAAACAACCAATCTTAACATCTCAAGATTTTGAAGAAAAAAAAATCAATTATTTAAAATCTATTTATGTGCCTTAAATTTTACTGTTTGCATCACAGGCATATCGGATAAAGGATAAAATCAGGTATATTGAACACTAAAATGCATTATCACCTGTTCTGATATTTTTCTGAATGATAATTTATCTCCATTTCATGTTATATAATTTCTTTTGTTTTTAAATGAACTTTTTCAACAGCAAATAAGTTGACGTTTCATTTGCTAATAGATATATCTCCACATCCTCTTTAAAAAAAAATGATCTCAGTGTCAGTTCCGTGATCGGTAATTCTTAAACAAGTATCTTTTTCATGCCTTTTTATGGCATTCTTCGCCACAAAGCTATTAAGTCATCTTTTCTATATTTGTTAAAAGCTATTTTATATAATTTTCTATCGTTTACATGAACTAACTCGGAATTGTCTATGAACTTTTACTATATTTCTATCACGGATTTATATAAATCCGTGATTTCTATGTAGGGCGAAGGATTTCTTGCCCTATGCAGATTGCGCATGCGCGAGAAAATTCTAAATCCGGTCGATTTTTCATAGCAACGGACCGAGTCGTGAAAAGGTCTATAATTTCATTTGCAGATTGTTACATTACAAGTGCATGTCTTGGTCTATGTAATAATTTCAAGTTTTATGTTTCAGGTTTTTTGATCTCAGTGGAGCTCCTTTAGAGTTAAGATAAAAAGTCTTTACATTATATTATTATGATTATATAAAACACACATTAATTTAGTATAATTGATAAAGTGTAGATATTAGTTGATACGCTTATAAAAACACTAATTAATACGTTCCTGGAATAAACCAGCACTGAGCAATGAGCAGTACTTGTTCGAGGGAACAACGGCTTATTCCTTACCGCTAGCGGTGCTTAGATTATTAACCGCTCGGTTATGGCGGCTCCAAACATATACAGCGATAAATTTCATAGCATATATACATCAATATTTTACACTTCCAAATGTCTAAATCATCTTTAAAATGAAGAATAATTGTACAATGGGTCATCATTGGCATGCAAATGTCTCGGGTTAATATTGCCAAACCATAATCAAGGAAATCTTCATAAATTATTGTAATAATACGTAGGGCTTCAAAATCACATTATGTCCATTTAAGCCTGTATTACATATATTGAGTAAGTCATATTTAAGGCGCGACATAATAAGTAAGTCACGAACTTTTAAGAGGGTTATACACTTTGGTCATATAATCTCCAACCCGTTTAATGGACATATTGTTGATGGATCACTCTGCATATCATTAAAAATCAAACAAGAAATTGTTTAGGAAAGTTGTTCTAAAATTATAAAAAAAGGCACAATCAAATGTTTGTCATGAGTTATAAAGGGCAAACAGAACATAACCAAGTAGCATTTCAAGCAATTTTAGAGCTGTCCTACATCCTCACGCAAAAACAAAAGTAGTAAAAGAAAAAATAAAAAAATATAAGATGGTTCTCAGCTGCAGAATGCTAATAATTAATGAGAATCCTAAATATACGACTACATAAAGTCCTACACTTTTCGAAATCATTCATGTTTGTTTGAAATTTCAACTTACGTAAAGCCAACCAAAAAATGTGTGACGTGAATCAACCCCTCCGGTAAAGAACACCTAAGACTACCAAATTGATATGTTAAACTGATTGAAATACTATTACTTTTTAGAATAGCCAATAAGATTTCAAGATGTAAATTTGAAAGTCTAAGCTGGCCGATGATATCATTTTTAATTTTTTATTTTTTTTTTTATTTTTTATTTTTTTTTTTTTCATTTGTACTTCACACATACGTTATGTAAACAATAATAATTATGACGTGATATGAATTTTCTTTTAACAGTTTTCGTAAACAGTAGCATATTAGAATTGCAGTTTATCAAAACAATAATGCTACTACTTGACTGATAAAGTACACTTCCTTTTATGTCACGAAATGGTCGTGATTTAAATTCAGTTCCGATTTGTTATTTTATCAAAAAAATAAGAATGATAATAATAATTATGTTGTTATGAGTCAAATCAAGTAATTTCAATGTTCATTTTCTGGTCTTGATCTTCTTCGGATGTCTTTACTTCACAACAGCAGATTTCAAGTGAGTCTGTGTACCCGGTTCCGCACAGGACCCGGTCCCGCACACTTTCCCATTTTCTATTTTATTTTGAAAATTCAAATGAATTTATTTAGTTTTTTAACCGGCATGTTTTCAACAGGATATGACATAATCTGGGATCTTGCCCCAAGCCTCTCCCTGGAGAGTGCAGACGAAAATGTAAATACATGTACGTGGTTGTGTAGGTCACACATAAAAACAACTTATTCAGCAATTAAACCATGCTGATTTCTATTTTAATGTTAAGGTTATTATAAAATATATATTTAAAAAGAAATGTATGTTTTTGTTATGGCAAATTTGCTGTTAGCTATGAAATATGTGCACATGAATTAGCTTCTCCCAACTACCAAACGTCAAGTCATTTCACCTTGATTATTTTGTTAATATAAATAATAAAAATAATACCAAACTCTTAATCGAACAAATCATAACTTAAAAAAAGGAAAAACCTTTTAATAATAATTTTTATGTCTGTGTTTACTACCTACATGTTGTAGAAAAATTATGTCTCCATTGCTGTAACATGTTTCCTGTGTGCTACTATGCTTGGAAATAAATGTTTGTATACTGCAGTATAAATGTGCATTAAATTTATTTGAAGTCCTGAAAATTTGCAAAAAATATATCTTATCAGGACTAAGAGATGTTAAATAATTTATAAAAACATGTTTAAGATGTAAAATAACCTTTCAGTATAAAAATGGCCTTGTGTGCGGAACCGAGTCCACTATTTATTATATTTGGCCAATTCCTGTTGCTTAAAATCAAGTGCTCCTAGAAGTAGACCTTCTTAAGATAGAAACGTTTTGGTCATCAGTTTTTATGGGCAACGGATGTAATTTTCAAAAAAATATCAATTATAAGAAGAATTTTTAACTATAAGATAATTTTCTTATTTTTCCTTAAAAAGTGTACGACAACGGGTACACTGACTCTAAACCGGGTCTGTAATTTTCGTGTAATTTTGATCTCATTGCTTCCGAGGGATCACCCGTTTTCTAGGTTTTTTATTCCTGCTTTACAATAATGACTTCCTTGGCACTATTATGTCAAATTGCGACCTGGTTGCGAATGACTTTTTTTCAGAGCAGGTACGACCCTCTTAGACAAAAAATAGCAGATACACATGAAAATCTGAAAATTTCAAGGGGATCTATTTTTGTCAAA